CTCTGTCAGTCACCTTTCTGCATGTGGGACATGATGGCCCAGGCCTGGGAGAATGGAACCTAGGATGGTTTGTTACTATTTTAGAATATTTAAGAAGCTCAATTTTTGCATTTGGCTTTTTTTTTTCTGTTTCAAATTAGGAAGCACACAATGTCCACATTGAAAGAGGCCCTAGAAATCTTTTGCTTCAAATGCCTCCATAACATCGGATGAGAAAATAATTATATTATCCTATAATAATTTGGTGTTTATTGTTTCACATAGCATAGTTGAAATGTATTATTTTTCAGTCTTGGGAAAAGAGACTCAGAAATTTTAACTAACTTTGCTACTAAATAGGGTAACATACCAACTCTCTTGTCTTTCCTCAGTACCTTGCTTGGGTTAGGCTGACTCAAGTCGAGCCCTGCTTCCTCTTGTACATCCCAGCTGTGACATTATCATTATTTTAAAATGTTTATGAACAGGGACATAGTCCTCCTTTTATGTCTGTAGTCTGATTTCTTTTGAAACTACCTACACCTTTCTTCCTCTCTTTTGAACTTTGCTTTGATGAATATATTTCTGACCAGATAAAAGAAGTTGAGAGTACAGCCTTCTTAACTTGAAATGACCACCTTTGTTCATATCTTTATACATATTCATAATTTATACTATTACCACAGTACTTTGGTTGCTGTGACAAGCCTGATATTTCAATAGCACATATTTCAAAGGACAGCGAAGAAAATACATAGCATCTTCTTTTTCTGATATTTAAGTAACTTTTTTGAATGCTTCTTAAATTTTTTTATAGAGAAAAAGTTCAATTAATTTTGTAAGGGCTAAAGTAAATGAAAATAACTCAATGAAATAAATAAGAATTCAAGTTCGTAGTCTAATTAGTAGACCAAAATTCTTAGCATTTACCTTCTCCACAGGTATTTTTGTGATTTCTTGATGGTATAGAACTCAGCTCATTCCTCTCTGTGTTCCTTGGGGTTTAATGCAATGCCAGCCATACACGTGGCTACTAATAAGTTCATGTTGATTGAATGAATGGCACAACCACCTCGGCTCTTTTCCTTATGTGTTCCGCTCTGGCCACTGTGACTACCTGTTACCTGGACACATTGCCCCTCGTCCCACCTGCATGCCTTTGCAATGAATGACTTTTCTCCAGTGACCTCCCCCCTTCCAGGTTCCTACTCATCTTTTAAGATCCAGCTCAAATGTCAGATCCTCCACGAAGCATTTATTAAGGTCACAATGATGCCTCATTCATCTCTATGTCCCCAGCATCTGGCACAGAGTCAAAGTTATGAAATGTGCATTGAAATGAGAAAGTGAATGAACAGAGGGACAGAGTCAGTATCCCATAGCAGATAAGAACGTGGGCTTTATGGTCTGACAAACCTGGCTGCATATCCTGCTTCTTGACTTGCACCTGGTGACCTTGGTCAGGTTATGTCATCCCTCTGAGACTTCTTTTCATTGGTTGTCAAATGAGGATAATGACAGCATCTGATTCCACAGGTTCTTGGTAAGGATAAACTGAGATCCTGTTTGGAAAATCCTTCACCTCATGCGTGCTAAATGATAGCGCTGATAGACTTGTTCTACAGCTTTCCTTCGATTGCACTGGAGAGGCTGTGGTCTGGCCGGCCTCAGTGTGATTGTATCAGATGGAAATATTTTGGCTGGGGAGTCATGGAATTGTCATGGTCACCACCCCATTTTCAAATGGAATAGAACAGAAAAGCAGACTCCAGCTAACCAGAAAGCACTACTAGAGTAGAATTTTCTTGGCACTTAGATTTCAGGAGAAAGAGACAAACCACGAAATAGAAACGAATGTAAGGGTTTTTTAAAATATAGAAACCTTGCAAGTAAGTTCTAGGGGATGACCTCTGAACTGTGTTCAGCCTAAACCTCTGTAGTTTTGCACAGTGGAAAATATATACCATAGGCATTCAATTAATCCTACCAGCTGGTGATTTGGCCTTACACTGTTTCTAAAAAAAATTGAAATCGGTGTCAAGATAAAAAAGAAACTATTATGAAAAGTTTCAAATATATACCAATTTAGAGTGATTAGTCTAATAAATTTCCACATAACTATGAATCAGCTCAATTAATAGTTATTCAATGAGAAATATTCAATCAACTCAATAATTAGCAATATTCTGCCATTCTATTTCATTCTTCTGCTCCTTTTTACTTGTGTGTTTTGCTAGAGTATTTAAAAGCAAATGCTAGACATATTTTTTCACTCATCAATATTTTAGTATCAGATAAACACTTTTTTTTAAAAAATATATTTTATTGATTTTTCACAGAGAGGAAGGGAGAGAGATAGAGAGAGTTAGAAACATCGATGAGAGAGAAACATCGATCAGCTGCCTCCTGCACATCCCCCACTGGGGATGTGCCCGCAACCCAGGTACATGCTCTTGACCGGAATCGAACCCGGGACCTCTCAGTCCGCAGGCTGACGCTCTATCCACTGAGCCAAACCGGTTTCGGCAACACTTTAAAAGTATAATTATAATCTGTTATTATAGCCAACACAATTAAAATTAATTTCTTAATAGGATCTAAAACCCAGCCCATGTTCCGTTTTCCTGATTGCATCAATAAGTCTTTTTAAAAATATTCATTGGGTGACATTGGTCAACATAAACATATAGGTTTTGGATATGGGTTTCTATGTTACAAGATCTGTATATTGTACCATGTGCCCACCACCAAAGCCAGATCTTCTGCTGTCACCTTCTATTAGGTCCTAATAAGTCTTTTATAGTTATTTTGTTTGAATCAGTATCCCAGCACAGTTCACAAATGCTATTTGTTGGCTACATGTCCTAAGTCTGTTAATTTGTAACCATTCCCCTCCTTTGTTTCCATGCATTTATTTCTTTTTTATTCTCTAATATATTTTTATTGATTTCAGAGAGGAAGGGAGAGGGATAGAAAGATAGAAACATCAATGATCAGAGAGAATCATTGATCAGCTGCCTCCTGCTTCCCCACCCACTTGGGATTGAGCCCACAACCCAGGCATGTGCCCTTGACTGGAATTGAACCTGGGACCCTTAAGTCCACAGGCTGATGCTCTATCCACTGAGCCAAACCAGCTAGGCCATGCATTTATTTCTGTAAGAATTTTTAAATAGGTAAATATTTCACAAAAACAAGGTTTGTGGTTTCTCTTGGGAAAAAAAGAGGAAGATCTGGCAGCCCTGGCTCACACTCCCAGCTGGCACATGGTGAGACTGTAGCCCTTCCCGCATGTGAGTGCCTGAAGACCCCCACAGTCCTCACTAGTCCCTGTTGCACCAACCAGCTCACCCCATTGACGTTGCCTACCCAGCCCCCATGGGCGTTATGCTGGCCACCTCTGACCTACATATACATCTATTGGGCAATGAGCACTGAATCCTGAGTGATGACCTTCAAGTCCAAAAACATCCTCAGTCATTATGTCAGTGTTCAGTTTGGTGCCCTGTATCATGTAGGTAGGAATGGAAGCTGAAATGTTTCAAAAGTTTCCAGTGAAGGATTAAATCGACAAAATATTTTTTTAAACTCCTAAATTAGCTTAAAACTTTATGAATTGGCATGTCTCTTGTCTTGATCATTCCAGTTCATCTGCTTTACAGCCTTTCATTCTGTAAGTTTCTTTTTCACCGTGTGGAGGTTTGATCTACAAAGGCCACTGGACAAGGTGTCACAAGACCCAAACTTGAGTTTTGGTCCTATGGCAAGTGGGCCACCATTTTGCTTCTCTGAGACGCCTTGCAGAGTGGAGGTATTAACAGCCTATCTCTCAGGGTTGTTGTGAAGTTCAACTAAAGTAACAGATGTGATGTTAATTTGTAAACTGTATAGCTCTACACGTAAGCTATTACCGTGCAGGAGGCTATATTGAATTATGCGTACCATCCTCTTTCATGCCTCCATGCCGTTACTCTGCTGTTCTCTCTCCTTGGGATGCCTTTAAGAATGAATTGCTCGTCATCTGTGGTCCCCAAACACTTTATAACCTTCATCACACTGTAGTAAGGGCGTTTGTTCACATCTTTGTCTTCTGGAAGATTCTGAAAGCAAACTGCAGTTTATTCAGGGCTTGGCACACAGCAGACTCTCAGTAAGTGTCTGTTGAATTCGTTTGGACTGATTTGAATAATTATTATATGTGTGCCTTCTTGAAGGACAAAGTCTATGTCATACAGTTCTTTAGGTATATCACCTGATAACTGACCAGCCTTGGCTCTTGTTAAAAGCTGCTGCTGCTGCTGATGATGATGATGAAGAAATATTCATAAAAATAGTTTTGTATTTTACATTTAAGTCAATGATCAGACTTCTTAAGTATATTATTAGTAATGTAAGCTCATTAACAATGAAAGCACCTAAATGTGAATGCCTATGATTAAGTATTTTTTTTTTTCCGTTGGGGAGAACTTAACAGAAATTCCAGTCATCCTTTTTGGCCCCAGTTATCTGATTTTCTTCATTAATTTAGGCTCTTGCTCTGTTACAGCTGGTTTGCCATCCACCCTGTCAGCATGAACAACAGCAATCACCTTGTCAATAGCGACAATATGGGCTATGCATCTTACCTGTTTGAGCAAGAGAAGAACAAAGGACATTTACCTGGACAGGTAAGAATTTGTGTTATTGAAAACTTCACCTTAATTCATTGAGTATCATCACTCATGCAATATTCAAAATAGCTGATTCAAGTTTTCAGAGTAAAGTGTCAGTATGGGCATCACATACTGATAAAAAAAATTTCCATCTTACTTAGTAGGAAAGGAAAAATTCAAAAGGACCAATAAACTGTGTCAAACACTAACTATATTGATGGCTTCATAAAGTTATAATTAGTTGGATAAAGGAGGGCAAGTTCAAGGTTTTTGTAAAATATAATCATTTTTATCATTTTGGAAACATGATAAATTGTATTGATGTTTACTTTTGTTTTCAGAGTTCTAAAAGTATTAAGCATCTCTTTAATGGTATAATAATCTGAATGAGGACAGATGCCGAGTCCTTTTCACTGGTCCAGACATCCCTCTTCATGGTGAATTTCCTTTCCAGGACATTGTTCTACTTTCCTGTCATAAGGCCTAAGTCAGAGACAGCCCTAATCCATCAGACTTGTTTGTAACTTTGAAACTCAGTGAGTGACTGGATTAGAGATGGGGGCCAGGAACACAGTCCATGTACTCCAGATGCTGCTCAGATCTGTATACAATAAAGACTACAGCTAGCTAGGTGGGAGGAGGGACCTGTCTGCTTGCCACCAGCACCTAAGCTCTAGAATGCATGATATATGATGGGATGAGAGTCCTGAGCCCTTGACTAGAATAATGCTCTGTTATGAAGATACTGATCCATGAACATTTGATCTGATCTTTTAGCTCCTTTGTTGACAAAACTGTATTTTTTCATCTTAGCCTGTATTTTGGGGAAAAGAAAGGAGGTTCTCATTTGTGATCATTGGCTAGGTGCTAGGCACTTTGAAATAAATTATCTTTTTAGCATCATGATCTCTGATACTTGCTTACTTCTTTTTCTAAGAAAATTTAAGACATTTAAGATGGAATGGTATAAACAAGCAAAATAGAAACAGACTCATAGATACAGAGAACAGACTGACAGCTGTCAGAGGGGAAGGGAGTTAGGAGGCTGGTTGAAAAAGGTGAAGCCAATAAAAAAACCCACCAACCCCCAAAACTCATAAACACAGATAATAGAATGGTGATTACCAGAGGGAAAGGGGGTGGAGACAAGTAGAAGCGGGTAAAGGGAACACCAATGGTGACAGAACCATTTTGTGTGGTGAATACACAATACAATATACAGATGATGTATTACAGAATTATACACTTGAAACCTATATAATTTTATTAACCAATGTCACCTCAATAAATGCAATAAAAAAGCCACTTGGAATAGTTCCAACCAAAAAAAAAGAAAAAGAAAAAAGGACAGAATGGCAGGACAGTGGCTTGAGGTTACCATTCTAAAGGTTACGCGTTGTTACTTCAGGTTGAAGAGATAGAGAAACGACGCATGGATGGTGGATACAGTATGTAGGTTCAACTTCACAAGAGGAAAGTCCGGATTGGCTCCTCTCTTTTTAAGCCAATACGATATGTATTTTTAAGGGCAAATGCATCTTGGATCTCTAGGTTCAACACCAGCGGCAAAATTGACATGTCAGCCTTTTGTAACTTGTTGTTGCGCACTGTGTTCCTTGTCAGCGTGCTTCTGCTTGAGGCACAAATTTGAAAGTGTCCTGCTTCAAGCCGCTCTATTGATAATTGGAAAGTCGTGAGTAACAACAGGAACGCTGACTGTACTGGGAGCCTTTTCCGGAGTAAAGCATTTCCTTAGATTATTGTATGTACACCCTCCTTTTTATTGTGTGCAAATGGTTTTGGATAGTTCACCGAAGCAGATGGAATGTTTGCGTTTTGAATGGGAGGCGTGGGGAAGAAAGAATAAAAGGCAACTGCTGTTTCTCTTGGCAGGGGCCGTTTGTAGCAGCCTTTGCTTCATCAAACCTAGGAGATGTGTCCCCCAATATTCTCGGCCCACGTTGTGCCAACACAGGAGAGTCCTGTGATAACGCCAACAGCACTTGTCCCATTGGCGGGGTAGGTACCTATGCCAGGAAATCTTCGCTTTTGCATGTCATGTATCTTTTATGTTTGAAGGTTCATCGTTCATTGACAGGTAGGTTTTCCTCAAGTATACACCGGCCTACTTACCTCTATCAACTGCTCTGCTCAAAAGCACCCACGAAATATCAATGAGATAAAATTATAATTTTCTATGTGATTGTGAAGTTTTTTGAATGGTGAGGCAATTTAGGAAATGTCAGAGATTAAATATCCTTCCCCAAACGTGGGCCGCCTGAAACAGGATGCCTGGGCATTTCTGCGGAAACAGTACCCCAACTGTCTGCCCGAGACATTGCTCACTCATTAGTAAAGCTATGGATTAAGAAAAACAACCACACACACAAAAACAATATAAGATAATTTTTTTTCTTTTAAAATTGCAAAAATCTTGCTGTCAGAACTCCAACAATAAGAAAGCATAGCGAACAGTCAAAAGTGAAAGACCCTATCACCTTCATCCTGCCCCCCACTTCCAGCAGTTACCTATGGAATGACTTCCTATGTATCTGCGTAACCACAAACAACATTTATAACTTACTTACTGATTTTTTTTATTGGTCCAGGATTTCAGTTTTCCACTCAACTTTGTCTTAAAAATATTTTATGACTATATGTGGATAAGTGTGGTAAGTTTCAAAGGCAAATGAGGCTGCACCATTATTTATTTACCCCCCCCCCCCAGCTCATTTAGATTATTCAGCTTGGACATGAGCAGCAGATGCTAATTTCTGGGTCTTATTCTTTGTGTTTAAAGAACATTTCACCTGTAATATTGCTTTTATTAACACTATTTCTGGGCTATTTACTTTATTCCAATCAACCCCACCCAATGAGCAATACAGTTTCAACAATTACACTTTTCTATTATATATTGCTATTTTTATGTAGAAAGTATTCTTTGTTACCCTTTATTTGCAACATTTCTACACATTAGAAATTGTTGATAGGTATATATTTATTGTTCATATGGAGATAATCTAACTCAATATGGATGAACCAAAAGGTATTAATAAAGATATTTTCCTTATTGACTTTTCCAAGTTCCTAATATTTTAAAGTCTTAGTTTGTCATAAACAATACAACCCCCCCTTGATTTGTCAGTTGTCTTTCAGCTTTACTTATGTTTTCATTTTCCACATATGAATATTTAAAATGTTTAAGTTGTCAGATGTATTTAGCCTGTTCTATATAATTTTAGAAGGGTCTTCTATACCCTTAAGACTTTAAAATATATGCACTCTTGTTTTCAATACTTTTTATTTCATTTGTAATATTGAAACATGTGATTAATCTCAAATAAGGTATAGAGTCATATTTATTTACTGATTTTTCCCCCCTGACGGTCAGCTAGCTTTTCCAATATAATTTTAACTGAGTTTCAGTTTAAGGTGATCATGACCAAGAGCCACAGGCAAGAACAAGCAAGTAGAGCTGTGTGCAGCCAATGGAGAGATGCGGAGTTAGGTCTTAGCTACCTGAATAATCTTTGGCAAATCCTCTAACACACGGAGCCTCATTTTCCTTATTTTTAAGTTAGGTGCTGGAATAGATGATTTCTAAAGGTGTTCGCTGCTCCAATACAAGTAATGCTTTTGTTTTTCGTAACCTATAAGTTGAGAGAATATCTGAAAAGAAAAGCTATAATGTGTCTTAAAATTATATTTGCTTAGATTCACTTGTAATGGTCCATTTCTTAAAATAATTGCTTTTTAAAAAATACATTTTTATTGATTTCAGAGAGGAAGGGAGAGGGAGAGAGAGATAGAAACATCAATGATGACAGAAAATCATTGATCAGCTGCCTCCTACACATCCCCTACTGGGGATCAAGTCCGCTACTCTGGCATATTCTCTGACTTGGAATTGAACCGTGACCTCCTGGCTCATAGGTTGATGCTCAACCACTGAGCCATACCAGCCAGGCATAAAATACTTGCTTTATTCACCAAGAACACATCTGTCTCATTTTGTTCCAGGCTACCATGTGCATGGCTAGGGGACCTGGACAGGATATGCTCGACAGCACACAAATTATAGGACGGGCCCTCTACCAGAAAGCTACGGTAAGCCGTGCACCCACTCTTTGATCTTCGTTTAAAACTAGAGGCCTGACGCATAAAAACTGTGCAAGGGGCTCGGCCCTTACAGCCCCGGCTTCGTCCAGAAGGTCGTCCAGATGGGTCCTCTGAAAGGTCATCCGGACTGTCGTTCTGCTGTTCGGTCTAATTAGCATATTAGCTTTTTATTATATAGGATTATATAGGATTGTTCTTGAAGATCTGCTGACATTGTTCTTTAGGAAGTCCCTTACTGTGAGGAAGACAAGAGCTCAAGCAGCACCGACGGGTCTGGAAAGCTGGCTGCTGCTGCAGGGCAGTTGGGAAGGTTTCTTGCACAAGCCACACAGGAATCTCTCTCTGACTGCCTGGTCAACCACTTACAGGAAGTTCATTTTACTTCTGCCAGAGGGCTTGCTTCGGGCAGTGGGATGATAGCTAGATTGTAAGGTTTTCAATTAGCGTGGTATATATGACCAGACTGTTTCAGAGGCGCGGAAATCTCTCAGGAACTTGCCTGCCAAATCACTTAGCCATTTCTTTTTAAAAATCTTTATTGTTGAAAGTATTACAGATGTCCTCCTTTTCCTCCCTATTGTCTCCCTCCACCTGGTTCCCTGGTTCTTGCCCCACCCCAGGCCTTCACCAACCTATTGTCTGTGTCCATAGATGATGCATATATGCACATAAAATCTTTGGTTAGTCTCTTCTTACCCCCCTCCTTCCCTCTGGGATTCATCAGTGTGTTCCATGTTTCCATGTTTCCGATGCTATTTTATTCATCAGTTTATTTTGTTCATTAGATTTCTTCTTTGTTTATTTTGATTTTTAGATTCCATTGTTGATAGGTATATATTTACTTTATTGTTCATATTTTAATCTTTTCTTCTTCTTCTTCTTCCTCTTCTTAAAGGATACCCTTCAACATTTCATATAATTTACTTTATTGTTCATATTTTAATCTTTTCTTCTTCTTCTTCTTCCTCTTCTTAAAGGATACCCTTCAACATTTCATATAATACTGGTTTAATGGTGATGCATTTCTTAACTTTTCCTTCGGTGACAATGCAAAGCTGAGCCCCACAACTCACTGCTTTCACAATTTGGATTCAAATGAGTTCTAGTCTTCTTTGATATGGCAAAGATCATCCATGTTACCTTAGCTTTTTTTTTTTTATGAGAGAACCTGGTATACAGCGAGATTACTATGATTTACTCTACTCTCTTCCCTCTCCTAAATTTGATCTTTCATTTAGTCCCATATTATGTGTCAGCTTCAATGGAGAGATTTCTGACCTAAAAGATGAGCTGGAGAATTGAGAGATCTCTGATAACGAGAGTTAAGTCTCTTCCTTTTCATAGCTTACTTATATCTTTGTTGTATACACACGCGTGTGCGTGTGAGTGTAAGTAAATATTTTGTTCCAATGATTCTAAAATGTTTCAGCAGCAATTAAGGAAGATCAAAAGCACCTTTAAAAACACCAGACACTAGCCAGCCCTAATTGCTGCAGTTTCTTTTTAATTACTGTGGTATTATCAGTGGATTGCTCTAAATTAACAGATTCTATTTAGGGAGTGCATCTGTGACACAATTAGGTGTCAGAAATTTTGTTATCTTTCTGGGCCTGGGAGCCAGAGGGATTTGTCCCACATTCTGCATTCTCTTCTCAGCAAGGCACAACTGGCCTCCTCACCAGGGAGGCAGCTGCATCTGAGGTCACTCAGCTCAGAGCTCCCAGGGGGCAGTTGAAACTGGGATGGTGTGGAAAGGGACTTGTACCGAAGCAGGATTGCCTCTGTTGTATACAGATCAGTAAAAACATTTCTAATCATGGGTTGACTCATTTTTCCCATAAGATCGAAAAAGCATCAGTTGACCACATTGAGGGGAAAAAAAGATCATCAAAGAGCAGGGGGGTGTTAGGGGAGTTTATGCAGATGAAGTGGGGCCTGAAGTTTTCAAGCCGCCCTTTGGCATCTCCTCAAGCCAGCCCTGCCAGAGGACTCAAGGATGAGGATGCCCGAGGATACACTCTTGTTCTGGCGAAGAAAGTCACGCAGCCCTCCTACTTCTAATCTTACATTTTCTTGACCGTCTTTCCAGTGAGATTGGGGCCTTTTGTGCCACATCCTGGATCACTACGGGTTCATCTTTGTGGGGAAAAGCACAGGTCAGCCATCCAGGGCCTTCCATCTTCAGGGAAGCAACAGGTTGGCAGAGAGATCACCTGTGTAGTGGCTACTGCTATGGACCCAGCAGAATAAAACTTGTCTGAGAGATCCTTCTCCCAGTTGGTACTTACTGGATGCAGTGGTAATGTTCATTTTAGCTCTTAACAGTGAGCTTCTGTGGGTGTTCTAGGCGCTGTATGCCCTGGCTTCCCAGGAGTTAACTGGACCGCTGACTTCGGCTCATCAGTGGGTGAATATGACAGACGTCACTGTCTCACTCAATTCCACACACACGGTAGGTGTGGCTGAGTCACACTGACCATGCCACCAGGGGAAAGCTCGGGGCTGATCTCATCATTAGTGGAAGCTTAACTTCTGTTTCGTTTTTTCCTTTTTTGTTCTAAACATCTTTCCTTTAGGCAAAGACATGTAAGCCAGCGCTGGGCTACAGTTTCGCAGCTGGCACAATCGATGGAGCTGGGACCTTCAACTTCACGCAGGGTGAGGTGCAGACGAATGGAACCTGTGGCCCCAGCTTCTGGAGCTTTGGGTTGTGTCCCTGAGGAGGGTTTATGTGTAGCCAATACGTCGACTGTGTTTCTTTCTAAATCCAGGGGTGTGCAGGGACTCCAGGTTTGTGCATGACAACCAGATTTCCCAGGGACGGGTGTCTTCCGTCACTCAGCTTTCCACGCATTCAAGTAGAATCAGAGACAAATCCTCTTTGTGTTTTAGTCTGTGGGTGAATAATTTCAAATTGTGCTTGGGCTGGCGCGGGGGCTGGGGGGGGGGGGATGGGGGTGCAGGAGGGAGTTGTCATTGTACCTTCAACAACATGAGTCGGCTCTTCCAATTGGTTATTAGTGTCTCTTTTCCTTATCCCCTTACTGAAGACAAAATTCCTCAGGGTAGAGGCCTTTAGGAACCTAACGCCTGTGGTCCCAGGTCCCCTTCCTGTGTGTGTTTCCAGGATCTTCCTTAATTTATAACTGACTGTTTTAGGTTTTATAACTTTATCCTGATTTCATTGTAATAATAGGCTTTGGTTTATGTACTTTGGTGCTCTTTTATTCAACCCACATACGTTTATAATTGTTATATTTTCCTAATGGATTATAGATTCTAAGTCGATAGGTTTCGTAGTTAACATAAAATTCCCCCAGATTATGGATCTTAGGCGAGGTTTTTGTTTTTTCCTGATTGTGGGTATGTGTGTAGATAAGTAAGTGGGGATTCAAGAGAGGCTTTTTCAGGGACCCCAAGCCAAACAACTAACACTTCAAATTGGAGGTGTCACTTTTAGTTTTCAAAATGGAAAGTCTACTGTGAATTGTGCCATACTGTTTTTACTTGAATTGTGGAAGAGAAGGAGCAATAGAAACAAAACTTCAAGGATGTTGCGCAAAATATATTCTTTTATTCTATCAACCACACTGAAGATCTAATTAAATAATGGCTCCTATTTTAGGATGCACAGGAAATTTTGCTTCTTCTATTATTCAGACTGTCTTGGAATCATTAAATAACAATCTTAGTGAAATCTCTGAGACTCCTGAAAGCATTGTTGTACAACAGCTGTCAAAATGATGACGTTTTCTCCAGAGGACTGGAGTCATATCAATTAAAACATTCCTAACAGGGACAACGGTATCAGATCCATTTTGGGACACTCTTCGGGATCAGCTCTTCGGCAGGCCCTCTGATGAAATGAAAGAGTGTCAGAAACCAAAGCCCGTCCTTATTCACACTGGCGAGGTAAAACATGTTTTGTTACCACGGTGAAATTAGTGTATTGCTTTTTAAAATTTATGAATTGTCGGATGTGAATGGTATACCTGTATTGGCATGGGAGATCTTACTCAGATATTCCCACATCAAAATATTTAATGTCAAAAGTATGGATGCCATGAGTCTAAAAAATAAGGGGTATGATTATTAAATATTGTAACTTTGAATTTATGATAAATAACTGGAACAATAAGAACCCAGAGAAAGGAAGAATAAAAATAACAGTTGTCTTACTTAAGATTCATTATGTTACCCTAAGGATAGGAGATCACACAGAATTCTCTGTAGAGAAGTACATCTCAGTCCCTGTAACAAGGAACATGTCCATGTCTCCGTTTTCTCACAAGCCAGGCAATGTTATTAACTAAAGCAACATTCTTTTCCTATTCCTTTGGAACATGGATTTTCACATTCTAAATGTCAAAGTGCGATGCCAGTGTTTATAATATGAACTGTTGATGTAGAAAACAATTTAATAGAGTTTCCCCCCCTAATATTCAATTAAAATTCTCAGGCAGAAGAAAGAGAGGAAAGGGAAGGAATAGAGGGAAAGATTCTACACTAATGTGAGTAAGGAAAAGGATAGAATTTCTTGGAGAAAAGGTGGAAAGTAACTGAAAATTTGAAGTGCTTTTAGAGTAAGAAGTTATTAAGTGAAGCTAATCCAAATGTTCGAGTTACTTATTTTTTGTGTACGAGGAGAGTCACTACTGTGCTGTAGTAGGTCCTTGGTCCTCGGTTACACATTGTGATTCCACACTGACAGATCCACCAGACATCATTGATGAGAAAATACGTCCAGGTTAATGGGGCATTGGCATTTGAGATTAACATGTTATGACTAGATAAAACATTTAATGTTATATCATGAATTAGACATAAAATCTATGGTGGCAGGAGACACCAAAAGCAGCTGGAAACATTTTGCATCCTTCAATAAACTTCTGTGATCATCACAGGTCTCTTGATCATAGAAAGAATAATATTCCTAACACAGTGTTCATATTTTGGGTTCTTAGCTGTCCAAACCTCATCCCTGGCACCCGGACATTGTTGACGTTCAGATCATTACTCTTGGGACCTTGGCCATAACTGCGATCCCTGGGGAGCTTACGTAAGTCCTTCTTTTTCATTTTGTAGTTTAAAAAATGTAATTATTGTGGCCTGGCCAGGTGGTCCCCTACTCCAAAATGTTTGGGTTCGATTCCCAGTCAGGGCACAGACGTAGGTTTTGGGTTCGATCCTTAGATGGGAAACAACTGGTCTCTCTCTCTCTCTCTCTCTCTCTCTCTCTCTCTTTCTCTCTCCCCCCCCCCCCCATTCTTCCTGACTTCAGGCCCACTGGCACTCTCTTTCTTTAGACTAGCTGGTCAAGTGCAGCCATTCAAAGGAATAAAGACTTGATCACCTCAAACCCACCTGTATATGGGCCTTATCCAAGGAACTAGAGAGAGTCAGATGCAGCTTACTGGTAGGAGGGTATCATGTGAATAATGACTTGTGACATTTCCACCTATTTTTTAATTGCTTTATTATTTTTTTATAATGTCTCAAACCTACCACCAAATAGTCTAGTCTTTGACAGTGTACTTCTCTCTCTCTCTCTCTCTCTCTCTCTCTCTCTCTCTCTCTCTCTCTTTCCTTTTCTCTCTCTCAAAATTAATACAAACATATCCTCTGGTGAGGGTTAAAAAAGAATTGCAACTTTAAGAAAAAGGTAGTTATTGTATATGTGTTTCTGTTGGGGTCACTTATCATGGGCAGGTCATTCTGCACTGACCCCTTTGTATCTCACCGTGTTATATTTGGCATCGCTGACAAATATTCCCACCCTCTGGTGGTGGGACCTCAGGAGAATAATCCTCTCCATGCTTGTTACTAGTGTGTAACTTGAAGCAAATATAAACATTTGAAAATGTATCGTTCCAAATTAAAATGATGTGAATTGTGATGTCAGTAGAAAGACTTGACATAATATTAAAATACAGACTCTTGAAATAATTACTTTAGGTTTTAAAAGCATGAAAGAATGTTTTAAGTCTCCTCCTCATGCAGTCTTTCCTATCTTAGTAAGAGGCAAGTGTATAGCTTTCCTGTGGCTCAGGCCTAAATCTAGGAGTCATCCCTGAATTCTTTCTTTTTCAATTTCCCTCACTTTCTATCCTTCAGCAAATTCTGTATGTTCTTCCCAATACTTTCTATTACTGTCTCTTGTTCCTCCCCCTCTCCCCCCCACCCCCCGCCTAAGCAACCATTATTTCTCCCTGTCTTGCCTTCTTGCTCCCTCCCTTTCTACTCTAGAGTGTTTTATCAACGCCACAGCTGGAGGAAGCCCTTTAAAACACAAGTTAAACCATGTCCTGCTCAGAACTCTCCACTGGCTTCCCATTTCACTCTAGGTGAATCCTCAGACCCTTACAATAGCCTAAGGGCACTGTATGATCTCAGCAACGCTCGTTGGTCTGATTTCATCTGACTCTCCCCTCTCTCCCCTGCTTCAGCCACTTCGGCTTCATTGCAGTTCCCAGACTCATCAAGCATGCTTCTGTCTTAGCACTTTTGAATTTATGGTTCCGTCTCCCTGAAACACTTGCGCTCCAGTAATCCCCATGGCCAACTCTTTCATTCCTTTAGTTCTCTGCTCAGAGCTCTAACAGAGATGCCAGTCCTGCCTATACTATGTAACATTGTCTTCACCCACCACCGCCTCCACCAACACCGCTGCCACATCACTACAGCATCAGCACCACCACCACCAGCACCACCACCATCAGCACCACCACTGCCACCACCACCACCACCACAACCACCACCGCCACATCACTACAGCATCAGCACCACCACCATCAGCACCACCACCACCACCAACTCCACCACCACCACCACTGCCACCTCACTACAGCATCAGACCGCACCTCCACCACCACCACCACCAACTCCACCTCCACCACCACTGCCACCTCACAACACCATCACCACCACAAAGACACCACCATTCCCTTTCATTCTTTGACCTACCTTATATTCTTCATAGCACTTATTGTCATCTCCCTTTTTAATTTGCTTATTGACCCTCTGTCTTCCCTAGAATGTTAGCTCCACACTGCTAATCCTTAGTATTAGAAGTAGGCCTGGTATGTAGTAGGTGCTCAGAGTTTTATGAAGGATTAAATTAATGAATAAAATGGTAAATTCTTTGCGGCAGGAACAATATACTCTCTACTTGCCTTAGCTCTTATTAACAAAGAACATAACCAATATATTTTGTTGAATCAATGAATGGAAAATGATTGTGATCTTTTGCTAGTGATATTTATTGATTCTTTTTCCCTCCTTCAAGTTATCTGTTTTCATTTTAGAATTTGTTTTGAAGATATGACAGCCAGGAAAAAGGCTCACCTTTAGCTTAGCTTTGTCATTGAGTCCCTACATACTTTATGATTGTGTAATGAGTCAGGATAACATTTTTTCTTTTACTACATGTCATTTTGCATACTTTGCACACCTTCTAAGTAGGAAAACACTTAGATAATTCTGTTTTCTTCACTCAGGACCATGTCTGGACGAAGACTTCGGGAGGCAATTAAAGCAGTAAGTTAAAAATAAAATAACATCTATGCATATATATTTGGTGAAGAGAATTCTCTAGCTATATGATCTAATACCTTTTAAATTAATCTTTGCTAAAATAACTAGAGATTTACACTTCTTGAAAGTAATGGCTAGAGGTAAATATGAAATATTGGTGTTATAAGAATAAGTTAAAAAATATAAGGGAACTATAGTCAGGTTAAAATATTTTATTGATATTTATGTATTAATAATTTAAAAATTAATAATGGTTTTATGGATTAAATGGTAAATAACCCCCGAGTATCTTAATATCTTAAAGTCTTATCTAAATGAAATCTAACACATACTGATAATTATGTGTTTTATTTATAATTATGATTTTATTTATATTGAGGAAGTATTGAAAATGGTTCTAAAATGTCATCATCAGCAAATGCCTTATTACTTGGGCCTGGGAATAGCTACTGTCATTAGCTAGTAACCTCCCATTATACTTTTATAGGAAATTAATAAAATATCTTTATTTTAGTAATAAGATTCTACATCTGCAAATGCAATCATTAAGATGTTCACAGATCCATTGATTTGTCCAACGATAGTGCAGAGTTATGGCTCTAACTTTTATCCAGGACTCTCTGATACTTCTGCATTCTCAGGCAGTTTTGATCAGTAGGAAGAATATTGTTAAGAGAGATATCTTACACTAATGATTTATATCTGTGGTTCAGTATAACTGGGATTATAATAAACTTTAAGATGAAGAGTAATTTAACTGGGCTCTACCTCTTTCCCCCTCCCAGGAGTTTGCAACTTATGGGATGCAGAATATGACTGTTGTTATTTCGGGTCTGTGCAATGTATATACACATTACATTGCCACCTATGAAGAATACCAGGTAAAGTAAAACGTCTTTATCATTTAAGTGAAATATACCCTGGCCAATGCTATTGTATTAAATGCAGGTTTTCTTTCTAGATTTACTTAATCATGTTTTTGAGAGGTGACTTTTTTTTTTTAGGACAGATAAGAGAATGATAAGCCAGAAGTTGTGTTTGGTGGTTCTAGGTTGACCATTTACAAGTTCAGGTTAGAAATCTAGTCTCACTGACTTTCACTTTTCCTGAAATAAGTTATTTTGTCAGAAGCCCTGGTTGTAAGTTTGGGTTGTGGCATGCAGCATTCCTAACTCTGTCCCTCATGCTTCTGGTGCCTTAAGCTTGTGTAGGACCTTGCAATGTTCCCATTGCTGGTTACCATTTATTGAATGCATTAGCTAAACACCTTGCAAATGTGATCTTAACTAATCCTCATAATAAGCCCTGCAGCAAGATATTATTGTATCCACTAGAGGCCCGATGCACGAAATTTGTGCAAGAGTGGACCTTCCTTCCCCCTGCTGCCGGCGCTGGCTTCCCTCTGGCACCTGGGACCCGGGCTTCTTTTGCAGCCCTGGCTTCATCTGGAAGGTCATCCGGTCTAATTAGCATATTATGCTTTTATTATTATAGATGGTATCTCGTGGTCGGCAAACTGCGGCTCGCGAGCCGCATGCGGCTCTTTGGCCCCTTGAGTGTGGCTCTTCCTAAGCCTTAGGAGTACCCTAATTAAGTTAATAACAATGTACCTACCTATATAGTTTAAGTTTAAAAAATTTGGCTCTCAAAAGAAATTTCAATCGTTGTACTGTTGATATTTGGCTCTGTTGACTAAGGAGTTTGACGACCACTGGTTTAGACTAAGCAACAGAGTCACAGAGAATTGAGGGGAGGCTGTTGGTGGGTGATGTTTCCTTGTTTACAAATAGTACAGAAAGTAGCCCAAGTACTTTTTAACAATAGTAGTTAAAAAACATGAGAATAGTTTAGAGCCCAGCAACTAATGGTTTCTAATGTGTTTGCAGTCCATGCCCAGGCATGTAGTCTACCCCGTGGCAAATGTTCAGTGATATCAGCAGTGGAATCTGCTTCATGCCCTCTGTTGACTTTATCAAAGGGCCCCACCTTCTAGGAAATCCTGCTGAATAAAGGTTCTTAATTGGGGTAAATTTGAATGGGAATACTTTTTCATTTACTCATTTTTTATTTATCTGTAACTATTTGTTATTTAGCATTTCCCCCAATTATGAATATAGGTGACAAATGACAGTAATATTAGCAGTATCTCTGACTTTGTCACCAATAGGAACCACAGATATTTTTAATATCACACACCATTATTTAAGATCTAGGAATATCTTTTACTCTCATCCCTATTTTAAAATCACAGTAGTGATTAAATTTATTGCTAAATCTTGTTGTTCAATAAAGAAGCATAAACATTATCTATCACAAAGTTGGTTTATTAGTGCTTGATTAAAGTATTTCATTCTAATTAGTTGCCTTTGTCAACTCATGCATTTTATTTTATGCACTTATAAATATTAATCTGAGAAGGGTCCATAGGCCTCAGTAGATGATCAAAGGAGTTCATGGCACAAATACAAGCTTATCTCCTGGTTCAGGGACATGCTCCTGCAAGGATTGGTATTAATTAGTTAATTTATTTATTCACTCATTCATTCAACAGATATGTGCTGCGACATGCAGTATTAGCCACTATCTGGGCATAATAATAAATAAGAATCTTCCCCTGTCCTCAAGACCACTAGAATTTATGGTCTAGTAAAAGAGAAGAAAGCAGATGATTACATTTCTGTGAAAGGGATGCACAAAGTGTATGAAAAAAGAGAGAGAAAGAGAGAGAAAGAGCACCCATCTAGACTAAGTATTTGAGCATGGGGACTGGCAGATTTTTGGAAGATGTAATGTTTGTCTGAGTTCTTGAGAGTGAGTAAGGGCTAATTGGCAAATAAAAGCTAGGGGAGGTGTTTAATAATGGAGGGAGCTACATATGCAAATGTCCAGAGGGGTTGACAGTACATTTAAGAGGCCATGATTAGTTGAGTTCCGCGGAATAAGCATGATGAGCGTAGTGAGACAGGGGCTAGAGTGCAAGGCAGGGGTTAGTGAAGAGTCTTTTATGCTATGCTACAGAGCATTGCCTCAAGAAGGAAGGTTTTGGGGAACTGTAGAACTCAAAGGAATGTTCTTATCAAATTTGTGACTTAGAACGGTCACGAGGATGGCAGTGCAGAACATGAATCCAAAGAGCAAGTGTGGAGACAGAACTGATTAAGGGGCTGTAGCAATTGGGGTGAGAGGTCAGCGTTTGGCCAAGGTAAAAGCAGTAGAGACAGAGGAAAATGAAAGGAGTCAAGAGCTTTTAAGGAATGAGGACTGGGAGACTCACAGGAGGTAGGATGGGGGAGAGGAACCGGATGCCGGCCAGCTGGTCCTGGCGCGGGAGACAGGAAGGCTGGCCTTCACTGAGATGAAGAACATCGCAGGGAAAGCTGGTGTGTTTGGAGTGGGGAGTTCCATTTTAGATCTGATGAATTTGAGGATTCTGGGAAACAACCAAAGGCTTGGAGCTCAGGCAAAAGGAAATGTGTTTGGTTCTATTTTATAGCTCTATGGCAGATTAAAATTTTCTCCTGCTATACTCCTCAGGGGAAAACATTTCTATTACAACTACTTAAAATAGACATAAGTGCGGGAGCTAGTATCTACATTCAGATTAAATGGACTGACAAGGCCAAGTGGCACAAGCCATGAGGAGCCACTGCCTTTAGCATGTAGTTGATGGGAGCCATGTACTTTAGCTGGTAAGTGAAAATGCCTCCTCCCCCTGCCTTTGTCATCATTAATCTTGATTTGTGCCAGTTTGAATTACACACGATGTCTGAGCGCTACCCCTCACCTAAGTGTGACACCTCTGTAAGTGGATTGAAAGAAGCAGAATGGTGTACAACACGGCCTTGCCTTTCCTGCAGGTTCAGCGGTATGAGGCAGCATCTACAATTTATGGACCACACACCCTGTCTGCTTACATCCAGCTCTACAGAGGCCTTGCTAAGGCCATTGCTACGGTAATCAAAAATTGTACACGAGTGTGTCTCAGAGGTGGGGAGATACAGAGGGAAGCAAAATAAGAACTTTAGCTGTGAGTGTTCATTTTTTTTTAAAAAAACCTTTATATATATATGAGGTATTCCTAAGAAATGGAACAGAGAGTAAATTTGGATTTAGTAAATGCCTTTTGATGGTGGTAACCACTATTGTATAATACCATAAGAGCCCCAGGACGGTGTAAAACAATTATGGCATAGCAAAGACAGTAAAGGCCTTTTAAAGGAAGAGCTTGGATTTATTAATTGAAACAAATGAAATTACTGTTTCTGTAGTTGAATACTGGCAATTTCATATGCCTCCATCTAATTAATTGCTTACTGTGTTTGAAGTTTCAATACAAGGTATTAGGATATAATTTTGATTATTGTTTCATCATAAGGTTCTTAATTTGAGCTTTGATACATTTTTTTTCAAAGTAGAACTATTTTATTTTTCATCATAGAAGCTATAACTATTTGTAGATTATTCAGATTACATAGAAAAAGTATAAACTTATAACCCATCCATAGAGAAAACCACTGTTTATCTTTCATTGTTATCATAGGTCTATAGCTCTTCCTATGGAAATAGAATCTTCAAATTTTAGAGTGGTATTTAGGAAGAAAAGTGTGAATCATTTTGTGGAAATGTTTCACAGTTTTATGGTTATGTATCTAAGACTAGCTATGCGATCTTGAAAAACTACTCCAAGCTTATATTCTCATTCATAGTATGGGAGTGACAATAGATTGTATGACTGCTATAAAAATTAAATATATAAAGTGATTATGAAAGTATATTAAATCCATATGGGGGCTATTTAAAATTTGAAGTTAACATTTTGATGACATTATTAAAGGTGGCAAATTTTGTGGAAAACACATTAAACCAGTTGGGATATTGGCTGGTCTTAACTTTTAAATTAAAAATGTATTTGTTAGATTCTTTAATCAGCACAGTGGAAGATTTAGAAAAAAAACTTGGTACTGATTCTGAATAAGAGAGGCTCAACACTTTGTAAAAATTAAAAGACTAACTACAGTGTCATGTTACAAAAGCTTATCATGTGTTAGACTACTGTTCAAAGTCACACATTTGAAAAACGGCTCTCCTGGAATCTGAAGAGTGTAACATGCTTCCAAGCTTACACTGTGGTCACTGAACCATGCTGCTTAGGGAAGTGAAAGTGTTGCCTACGACCAAAACTGTCTTTTAGTGACAGAAGTTTACCTTATGCACATCTAGGCTCACATTTTAGCAGGAGTGCCCCTCACATTTTGTTAAAGTAGTTAGCTCTTGAAGGGAGAAAGAGAGAGAGGGAGAGAGCGAGGGAGGGGGGATAGATTTCTTTAATGAAGGCATTTCTGGGGATGGGGAACTTGGGAAAGAGTCTTTGTCTCTACCTTGTGCACTCCTTAAGCAAATGTTCTCTGTTCTAGGACACAGTGGCCAATCTGAGCAGAGGTCCAGAGCCTCCATTTTTCAAAGATCTGATAAAGCCATTAATTCCTAATATCGTGGATAGAGCACCAATAGGCAAGAATTTTGGGGATGTCCTGCAGCCCTTGAATTCTAAATACAGAGTGGTAAGATTCACCAAGAGATCTTGGAACTCTCTTAGCCTGTGTTTGGGGGTGGGGGTGGTGGTGGGAAGGTGTTGTTAATGGCACCACCTGCCTATAATGATGCTATAGATCATCAGCTGTTAGCAACAATAATTTTGGTACTTGTTTTTATCTCTGTAGAGGCTCTGCAAACATGATAATGGGGAAATAATTATTTTTCAGGTGGTAATTATGTAAAATTGAATTTCTAAAATCCCAATTATTCTTTTTCTTCTTAAATGGATGGTTATAGAATCATTCATTGGAGCTCAGAAAAGTTGTCTCTTAAATCAAGTGTAGGAAAAGCACACAGAAATGAATCAGGATTTTACCACTGCTATTTTATATTAACTATCCTTCAATCCTATATAATAAAACCCTAATATGCAAATCGACCTAACAGCGGAACGACTGGCGGAACAACCGGTCACTATGACACACACTGACTGCCAGGGACAGCTCCTGCGTTGAGTATCTGTTCCCCTAGAGTGAGGCGACCAGTGGCAGCAGCAGTGATCGGGGGACGGGGACAGCCAGCTGGCGGCGCCAGGCCACCAGCCAAGGCAGGTGCCAGCGGGGGCCCCCCATTGCCCCGCCAGCCAGTTGCCCCACAGATCGGCCCTGATTGCTGGCCAGGCCTAGGGACCATACCCTATATATTGGAAACAGTCTCTTAGATTTAAAAATTAAAACCTGGCAAGGCTATTCTAACACTGAAAAAAAAAGGATGATGCAGCGATGACATGCATGGACTCTGGCTTGCACATTTTGTGGTCAGCCCTGATTCCGACACTTATAACTGTGTGACAAAGTCAATTACTTAAATTCTCTCTGCTTCAGTTTTTCCACCCATAAGATGGGGAAAATG